ATTACTCCTGGAGCGCTAATCTCCGAATCAATAATACCAATAATAATATTGTTGTTGACTTTATTACTATAATTATTAGAGTTAGTGTTAAGTAGCAGACTGAATTGATTACGTATATATTTCGCAAAATCGATTTATTATTCTGTTTTGTAGGATTTTCTTTTGCATCGGTTCGGCTTACAAATTATTGTCAACAAATATCACAATCGATTATTCTACGCATTTTTGTCACCTTTGTATTTGCTATTATGACTAATTACTACTACATAGGTCTTCAGCAGCCCATCTCCTTTTAACTCTGTTATCTGTAGTCCTTTTTAACTGTGTCCACAATTCCCCGTTAGCTTCCATGTCACCACCGTTGCATCCACATACCCAACTCATCGATTTTTATTTGAATTCTACTTGAGGAACTGTCTGGTGCGCAATATCACTTAACGGTCTTCTCAGTATGTGTCCAATCCACCTCAGCTTCTCTCTGCATATTTGTTGAACGATATCTTCTCCTTAGTTGTTTCATCGCACTGCAGAGTTCCCTGTTTCTAGGCTTATCTGACTATCTGATATTCAGTATGCTTCAGTAAGCTATTGATAAAAGTTTTCAGTAGTCTGTGGGAGATTCTCTGTGTGACGCATACTCAAAGTCTCTGAACCATATAGAACCACTTGACTTGACTTTAGTGTTCAACATCCTAATCCTGTGTATATTTTTTTCTGGGCCGTACTTTCTATATAACTTATAAGTGCAAACATTTGATTTCCAACCAGTTGTAGATCAGTTCATATTAGGCTTCTTTTACTGAGGTTTCGTCAACTGAGATGTCCCATTTTCTATCACCACTCCCCTCCCCCACCTGACACTACCTCAATACTTTTGATGTATTAAATCTGAATGAAAAACATTCTTCTCAATAATTTCTCTTCAGGTTCTTACAATTATAAAACATGATATTTGTTATCGTTACACTAATGGCGGATACATTTTCTCACAGAATAACAGATTAGTTACAGGGTGTGACAAAATAAATAGAATTCGTGTGACAAACGTGCTAGGTTGAATTCAATTACAATATACTGTGAAATAGGATGATGATTAGTGATGATTAGTCACAAAAGATTCGTAGAATGGGGGGGCAGGAAAAATTGACAAATCAGTTCAAGGTTATTAAAGGTGTCAGGGGATTGGCTAGTACAAGGTAGTATGTATTAAAGAGGAGATAGTAAGACAGCAATGAGAAGTTCATCATGAAACAGTCAATACCTGAATCGAGATAGGTGGTGGCATATATCGAGAAAAGAGATAATATCACCAGTAATAAATCTGGATAGTATTAATGGAAAATTCCATAGCATTGACAGAATGCTGAAGAAAATGAAGACAAATCACCGAAAAGAATATTCTCCGTTCAGATTGACTTTTAATAATAATATTGCAAAGTATTCCACCTCTATTTTTGAATAATTTTAAAAGTGCACATACTTGTGTAACGGCAGAAGATAAGAAACTGAGTAACGGATGTTTATTAAGGAAAAAATGCATCCTATTTATACATTCTTAGCCATATTTAAGTTTGGCTAGATCAGAGAAGAATAAATTGTTCTGATTGGTCGGCTGATTGGCCCAAGTTTAAACAAGTTGTCCAATGAGGTTATTTCTCGTCAACCAATATAAAATAAATCCAGATTTGAGGAATAGACACACTTCTACCTATGCAGCCAGATTGTGGCATATGCTACTGATAAGATTTATCAGTAGTATATAAATAAAGAGACGTTCATCGGCATAAAAGCATCGGAAAGCAAAGAGATAGATTTAGTGTCAGAGAAAACAAATGATACAGCGTTGCTCAGATACACGGGAGATCCCGTGAAAGGAACGCAAAGAAACAAAATATAAAGGTCAGAAGTAGCACGAAACAGAAGATCTGTGCACTTCGTGCGTTGAGGATAAGGTGTACATATATAAACATTCCTTTACCATATCTTTCGTCTTCTACCGTTACGAATTGACTACCAATGTTGATATCAATTTTTGGCCGCTTTCTATCACAATCTGCATCACTCCCCCCCCCACACACACACACTCACCTGTTCAAGTCAAAATGTAGAAGTTCATGTTCGATAATGAAAATTCTTTTAAAATCTTTTTGCTTTAAATTTTATTTTTCCCTTATTTTTATTATCATTTTATAGGATGAACCGCCAAATAAATCTCTACGTTTATTAGATAATGGTCAATCGCATAGTGTTTCAACAGTTCAACACTCTGAAGATCCAGATATTGATGCAGCAATCAGAAGTATCTTATCAACTAGTGATTGATACCCGCCGTCATCATCATCATTATATGATACTACTGATAATATTAATGATAATAACAATCCTCAGAATACTTTCTTTTCCTTGTACATTTTGTTAATATTTTGATTTGAGTTCATTGAAATTGTTCAAATAATATTTTATGACTTTTAATTCTAACATCTAAACAATCTTTCAACTTTTTGTACATTATTGTATCTTACTTATCTTTTAAGCCCCAAAGTTTATGGATTTCATTTCTCAAAAGGTTAACTATGTTTCAAAAACAGGTTTCTGTGAAACTGTTTATTCTCCTTTATCATCATGAATATATATATATGTATGTATCTTTCCGATATATGGTTAACTTTCCCAGTATTTGATTCCTATAATATATATATGTATACATGATATTATTTTTTAGAGTGCCTTTCTCTTCTGGTTCAATTGTCTATGTTGTTTTGTTTTGTTCTGTCTGCCCTCTCTTCGCCTGTTTCTATAATCCTTTGTTGAGCATATATATATATACACTACAAGTAAACATATCGTTCACTGTTTGCTGACACAAGTGATAAAGCGAAAGAAGAAGCCGCGCCGCGCAAACCACGTGTTAGGCATCTTTCTTCTCATGTTACACAATCACACTTATTATTATTATTGTTGTTATTGTTGTTATTACTATTATTATTATTATTATTCTAAAACTCCTGTATAAAATAACACAATCATTTAATCTCACAATCCATTGCTAAAGCCAATCAGTCAGTCAGCCAGCCAACAAGCTAACTGTAATATGCTTCAATTGTGTTATTGTACAGTATTGAATTATTTTTTACGTAAATGCGCGTTCATGTTTGTTTGTGAGTCTGATGTGCATATCTCCTTTTCCTTGTTTTGTGTTCCTGTACATGTGTACTTACTTGTGTGTGTGTGTGGGTGTATGTATGTGCGCGCACACGACATTGTTTTCCCTTTTTGTTTCCTTTCTCTCTTTATTCTTCTTATCATCAACAAGTTTAAAATCTTGACTGTTGAAAAGGAAAAAACTGCTTTTCTTTCTCTTTTTTCTTATCCATTTTGCTAGTTTGAAGATATATATATATATTTACATTAATATTAATAATATATAAAATTAATCTATGAATAATTGAGAAAGTCTGTTCTCATCTGTTTGCTTGAAAAACTAAAGATGATGACATAATATGCATTGTATTTTATATAATAGTAGATGTGAAGACGTGGTGATGATGATTCTCGTAAATGACATTGGAAGTGTAACAATTCAACGATACTTAATGAGTTTAGCGATTTGATTGGCTTCAGATTTGTGTCATGGATTAATTGATGCCAACTGGAGAACCATTCAAAATTAGCAGGAAATACTGGACAGCAGCTTTTTCCTAGTTTTGGGACCCTAATAGGGTCATGGGTATGTTGGTAATGAAGAGTCCCAAAATAGTACGAAACAGTCGTCTATTACTCCTTGGTAGTTTGTAACGGTTCTCTAATTGATTACAATCCGTGATTTAGCGATATATCTAACTTTAATTGGTTTATTGGGTTCCTTATCCATAGATGTACATTTGTATACATGCCGTTGGCAATGAGCGATAATACTTGGTTCCCAAGCGTGCGTTGGTATGTGGGGTAGGGTTCAAACCTCTATTTAAATGTTCTGTGAGCGTTGGTATCAAAATATAATATTAGTTTACATTACTACTAAGTTAATTAGTCAGTAGTAACATTTTATTGTGTTAAAAAATAACGTTCTTTGCATCGTACTGGCTTGTAAAATCCACACTATTACTTTGAAATCCAGGGATGATAGTCACGCGTATATTGACACTTATTTTTCTATCGACATAAGATAGTTAGCTGTCTTTTTAAAACTCCCCGATTACTTTGAATGATAATATCAGGTACCACTAGAGATGAACACTGCTTCATTTGCATGGCGAGCTAATTTCAATCTTTAGAATCGGTCATAACTATAATTTACGTTGTCAATATTTTCATATTATAAGCATTTCATGCGAAAGCACTGTTGTTTTCATCAGTATTATCTGCTAGAATACTTTAAAAAAAAAAGCAAGGAAAACAAATTGAGGTGCCTTTTAGTTATTTCTCTGATTCCTTTCAGCCGTTTACAGCTTAAACACAGTGGCAAAGTGTGTAAATTACAAAATACGTCTGTCATTCATGTTGACAAGTAGGTAACATAAGTCGTGAATAATGCAGGTAGTCAACTTATTCAGTAATTAGGGGACTGACTATTTATAGGGCGGCTAAACGAATGAATAGTTGCCAACCTTACGGGGTATATTCGTCCGATTCCCATTCGACGCACTCCTAAACCTCGACTAGCTGATAGTAAGCCTAGAAAAGAGGAGAGATTGGGCGTGAGACTAGCAACGCCACCCTGTAGGAGAAATAACATCACCGCTAATAAAATTTCAATGGTTCAGACCGTATTTTCCACTCGGAAGGCAAAGATTGGGAGAAAATAAGTCGCGAATGGTGCATGGACTGACTATTTATACGATAATAAAATGGATATTCTTGAATAAACGGGAAAAGATTTGAAAGTCTAGATAGAAACAAAGTTTAGGTCGATAATAAGACATTAATAGAGCAGGTCACTTATCTATGTAATTACAACTATCCTATAAATCTTCGGTCCTTTTAATACTTATTAATTTAATTAATTGCATCATCCGTGACTTATGTTCCTTATAGTTCCTGCCAAATAAACTGTCAGCATGTTCAGACGTGTATTTTTGTAATTTACATATTTAAGTTTCAGAATTTCATCATGAACTGACGTTGGTTAGGTGACCATTGGAAAACCTAGAAGTAGTGCAAACCAACACTTGAATATCAATCTGATGCTCACTAGTGACTGGCCCTATTCACACGTAGGTAGGTTGGGTGTGAGGACAAATACTCGTCACAGACGACATTCTCTATATCGTCAATTGGCAAAACTTGGAATTCATGCACCACCATTGAATCGGCTCACAGTGGCTTAATGGTCTACGAGCTAGCTCATCTTGTAACCAGGAGGTCCTGGGTTCGAACCCCTGTAGGGGGATACGTACTGATGAAGACTCCCAAACTACGACGGAGGAAACAGCTGTTCAGTACTCCCAGGTGGTTTTCATTAAGCGATGTGAGTTCATGATGAATTCTTGAAACCAAACAAATCCCTACGAAAATAACACTTAAACACATTTTACTACTGCTTAGGTTGTAAGTAGTTGAATTGAATTTGACTCATTTTCATCACAGAATCGCAACCGTTTACGTTGCCACAGTTTCCATGTAGGACACAAAGGTAGAACTATAATGGCCAGAGATATGCAGAAGAAAGAATAGTTATATTGGGAAATATGACAGTTTGGTGGATGGGGGAAATCACAAAGAGTAAATGCATCTGCACCAGCGATTGAGAATGATTTTGAGCCTTTTCACTAACAGTCTCCAGTCATTGGTCTTAAGCATTCTAATTACCTCAACCAAGCAGTCTACATCTCCCTACGTGGCTGTCTTAAACTAACTGTCGACAACTATATGAATTGTTCCCAGGTTCGGTTTGAACAGAATCAGTGAAATACTAGACAGGAGATCATATTATCCCACTGACTGGATGGTTCAGGCGCCCACCCCTACTCAGAACTAGAAAGTCCCGGGTTCATTCTCCGGTGAGGTCATAGTCACACACTGACAAACAGTACGATGAAAGGGCCATCCAGTCCTTCGCGGTCACGTGAAGATTTGTCCCGAGTTCGAATTCCGATCCACCGACATCATCCTGGACAACTGGGTAGTATTATTAGCTCTCACACAGTTAGTCTTGTACGTGAGAAATCCGTTTTTGTTACCTAGGTTCAAACAGATCCATTATGATTTTGACCACGAAGTGACTTCAGTTAGAGAACCACTGAAAACTGGGGAGTACTGAACAGCTCATTCATCCTCACTCGGGACTCTTCAGTAGTACGCACTCGTTACTCCACCTTTAGGGATCGAACTTGGGTTACAAGGCGAACTAATGGACCATTCCGCCACTGGAACCCAATGAATTCTACCATCTGCCAATTTGCGAAATAGTGCAACCACCAACCAATGCCATCGGTGAGTATCTATCCTCATGACCAACTTGGTTAACCCCACTGGTAACGACTTCCCACTAGAACTTCAGATAACTTTATCCTATAGTCAGTCATTAATAAGAATCAGATTAATTTCGAAGTTTCGGTTTTCAGGGATTTGATCCCGTTAGCTGAATGATAAATGAGCCCGTCTCGTTATTATGTGTGCGTAGTACTGAAGAGTTCCAAATAAAGACGAAACAGCTATCCAGTACTCTGTGGTTTCCAATCATTCTCCGTCAATTAATGTTCAGAAGTGAAGTCGATCAAATCCCTGTAAATCAACACTTGAAGATTCTTGCAGAATCCCACATTAATGTATCCTCTTTGCTAATAATTTTCAGTTATCCTTATAAATACTTAAAAGTAGTTTAAATATTTTTTTTAAAAAGAACAACATTTAATACCTTTTCTTCATGTATTAACAATATCATCTTAGGTGCTGTAATTTTCTTAAAATCAAGAATATTATGGATACTTTGGATTCTTGGCTGGATAAACTGGAAACTGAAAATACTAACAGAATAAATAATGTACTGGTGAAAAAATCTCGCCTTGAGCATTGGTTTCACAATATATTAAATCATTCTACAATGAATAAAATTGTTTGTATTACTTCTGGTGGAACTATTGTTCCTTTAGAAAAGAATATGGTAAGGTATATTGATAATTTTAGGTAAGTCTGTTATGCTGAGGATTATTATATTATTATCATTGTTCCCTTGGGTTCCTAGTGGAACATAGGGCTTCAACTACGCGTCTCCACTTGCTTCTGTCTTCTGCTGTTCTTTTCACTTGCATCCATGTTAGTCCATACTGTTTCAACTCTTCTTCACACGATCTCCTCCATGTCACCCTTGGACGTCCCACTCGCCGCTTCCCTTTCGGGTTCCACTCGAGTGATGGCCTGACGCGCGATGTCACCCAACGGCCTCCTCAGCGAGTGTCCAATCCATCTTCACTTTCTCCTGCATATTTGTTGGGCGAGTGGTTCTTGTTTTGTTTTGTTCAGATGACGAACCCCAAACAGGGCGAAATGCGCATCCTAGAATGCCCTATCAATGTTCCAGCATACAGATATCGTTATTATTACAGGTAGTAGCTCTATTTACACAATTATTCTGATCTTCAATCATGCTACTGCTTTCAGGCCCATTTATTCATTAATAGATAATAATAAGCGAAAGTTTGGAAAGCCAAAACAACACCACTGGAAAACTTCTTCTGCTCTAAACTGGTGCATTTGAATTATGCCTCGTATCGACTCTTCATGGGTGACCTCATACTTCAGTCGTACATGAGGTCGTAGGTGTATATTTTGATTTCGTTTCGTTAGGTCAAATACATTACTTTTGGCAGATAATACTACTCATTAGGGATATAAGTAGTTTTCAGTACTTATACCGTACCTGGCCACAATAAGCGACCTGCTGCCAGCCAGGTAAATCCTTTTCACTGCTTTCACGCTGCGGAGGTGTTCCTCTTCCTCCTTCAAAAAAATGAAAAGGCAAATTTGAACGTCTGGCGCTTACAACCAGACTAGTACACATTCAGATCCACCTAGGTCATCTGGAAAACTTTGATTCCAAACTAATGGGCTCCGGAATCCAAAAAATTGATGGAATGCAATATAAACTTATTTCGGTCACCAGTAATCATGGGAACGCTTCTCCACTGCCTTGTGAGGTCAGACTCCAAATCAAAGGCTCCAAGGGTGATCTCTTAAGACAACCACCGTGCTTCGGTTCCAGCGTCTAAACAATATCGAAACCCTCACAAAAACTATATATGAAATTTTGTTTGGCGCATTTTTTGATGATTATAATGTACCAATCTTGTATTTTAATAATAATAATAATAATAATAACAATAATAGTCGTACCTGATGACCATATTGACTAGACTGAAAAGACTTAGCTCTAATTTTACTATCTTATTATTCTAGTAATATCTATTATCTTTATCGAAGATATGAATTGTTCTTTTAGTAATGTGATTATAACGTGTAGTTAACCGGTGATCGGAACACACGCACGCGCGTGCACGCACACACACACACACACACGCCAACATACATTCATACATACATACGTGCACACACCACCCTCTTCACTCACAACTCTCCCCTTGCATCTCATCAGGTAAAACCAGAAGCCAATATAGAAAACTATATGCTCGTACCAGCAAGTACAAAAACTCAACCATACCCTACTTAGCTCGCGTTCTGTGTGATAAAGAAAGCATTAGGCGTGACACCTATAATTCATTAAATAGTCAGTAGTACAACTGGATCTCATCTTTCCAACCCACTTCATCAATAGGTTCAACATTTCCTTTCTTTCTGTTCCTTTTCTCTCTCTTCTTTTTCCGTTATGTGCTGCTTTGTTCTCTTTCTTTCGCTTACGCCAGTTAATAAGACAGCTCCCACTTTTCTAGCACCTTCAAACACTGTTTCAGCTTTACCTTTGCTACTGAATCATGCCAATGTATTGTTGTAATAATGAACTGTGGTTTCCTCAATCTATGTAGAATTCTATTTTATTGACAATGTACTAACTGGATGCAATACTGTAGTAAAAATGCTGAGAATTCCATTCTGTATCACAAGTACTGTTTTGGAATAAAGCAAATTATTATTATTATTATTATTATTATTATTATTATTATTATTATTATTATTATTATTATTATAACATGCCTGTATCATATGATATGAAAGTATATGATATACGCCTAAAATTTGATTTCTCTTTCTTCTAAAAAAAACAGAAGTTTCGAATGGAAAAATTCATTTTTTATTTCTTAAAATATTACAAATGATTAGTTGGTGTTGTTTACGAAGAATATATAAAGTTTTAATAAAAGTCACACGCACAAACACACACACGTTATATTCGCCTCGCCAAATAGCTTAAAAGTCACACACACACACACAGAAAACTTTTATATGAGGTAAAGCACTGACGTCAATGAACCACAGATATAATAATACTAAGTGACTGCAAAGGAAAATGAAAGAACAACACCTAAACTCTTCTTCAGTCTCTACAAACTATAAATCCATATTCCATTATGGGTAAAATTTATTTTGATAAAGTCTCACAGTGTTATACAGTAGGTAATGTTTACTGATGACCAAGTTTCGAGCACAATTTATTGCTGCTCATAATCATATCAAGGTAGTCACTCACACAACTTTCTGACTTCGTTTATATAATTCTATTATTTTCCATCGCTTGATTTGATTGGTAGTAGTGTGGTGAGAGATGGTCGCTAGCCAAATTGGTTGACAGTAATTGAGGTCAAAGGTCAAGGTGGACAGGCGGATGCAGTTAACATATAGATGAACTGACACAGCCACAAGATATGCAAGGTTAACTTTGCGTGAGAAACAACCAATCAACAGACTGTATTTTCTACTAACCTTTACCTACAATAATGTACATGAAAATCTATAAATACGTGTTGATTTTCCGAAATAAACGATCTGTTGCCTGGCCCTTGTCTTCTGTTGTTACAGTAGTATTCTCCATATTTCCGGTATGAGTGATGAGTCATTCCTATTGCACGTGTTGGGTGTAGACTCGATGAACAAAGATTCAGTAATCAACCTCTCTCTCCACCTACCTTGATTACTTCTTAAAATTTAAACCCTATCCCACCCACCCTATTGTGTGGTTGTTTGTTAATGCATGCAGTGTAATGTAGTGCTGAGCTTTTTTCTAATTTACTTATCTTCTCGGGGTCAAACATTCTTACCTTGGCTAAATTCTTATGTTCCCACAATCTGACTACCCCTGACCTATCTGACTAGTTTGACCTGTGTAGTTGACCTCACTCACAGTCATTGCAAGGTATTTTGTAAATTATATTATTTTGTTTAATTGGGTCAACCTACAAGGTCCTTTAACTTACAGAGCTTGTCCCTGAGCGAGTTTGTCACCCTAATTCCTGCTTTATTCAAAATCCTACGTAGGGTCTCAGATGTCCCCTCCTTATATGGTATAACAGTGGATGACTTATATTCTCTCTTATTTATGTTATCATTACTAGTTTCACAATTATTTTTATTTTGCTTTTGGTCTTTATTGATCTTCCTAATGAATTTTATAGGATAGTTAGTTATTTAATACCAACGCCTCTTCTATCTGTTTCATTTCATCATTTAGGTCTTTTCTTGTACTACTTAGTGCTACTGCTCGGTTTGTCAGACACTTAACTAAGCCTGCCTTAACAGTTAACGGATGAGATGAATTAAAGTCTAAATATCTATTAGAATGCGTTGGTTTTTTATAAACACTAGTGTGCAGTTTACCTTCTTCTATTCGTTTTATTTTACAATCTAATTCTCCTTGTTCATTTTCCGATTCAAATGTGAATTTTATTCCCTCTACTAGTGAGTTTATATGTGTGAAGAAGCTAGAGATATGTTCTATTTTTAACACTGTGAAAGTGTTATCCACATATCTCCACCATATTTTTGAAGTAGGATTAAATGTATTAAGAGCCATATTTTCCCAACTGTCCATAAATATATCTGCTACTATAGGGGATATTGGTGATACCCTTGCTACACATGCAATAGGAATGACTCATCACTCATACCGGAACTATGGAGAATACTACTACCAATCAAGTCAAGCGATGAAAAATAATGGAACTATATAAACGAAGTCAGAAAGTTGTGTGAGTGACTACCTTGATATGATTATGAGCAGCAATAAATTGTGCTCGAAACTTGGTCATCAGTAAACATTACCTACTGTATAACACTGTGAGACTTTATCAAAACAAAATTTACCCATAATGGTATTATACTCTACCACAGTGCACAAGTTTTATTCTTATATCAATCCTATAAATCCATATATCCATGTAGAATACAATAGGTGGTAAAGACAAATTTGAATTGTATCGGGAGGTGTCTTACGTACATGGTACAAGTACAAAATGGGGAATAATGACAGTCAGTGAGTTTTGATTATCAGTTATTATTGTCATTATTCCTTTGGATTCCGAGTGCAATATTGAATTTTAACAGTACATCTCTATTTCAACCAGTTCTCTGTAGTCTTTTCTAGTTGGCTGCATGAAATGACGTCCAACTTGGTGTTTCATATCCTGATTCTGCTTGACGGACTGCCTGACTCATTTTGTTATTATTATTATTATTCCCTTGGGCTCCGAGTGGAATATATGACTTCAACAACACATCTCCACTTTGTTCGATTTTCTACTGTCGCGTTCAGCTGGGTCCACGATTACCCGTAGTCTCTCATCACCTCCATGTCACCATCACACTGGCTACCCACTCGTCGCTTCCCATTTGGATTCCATTCGATCGATGGACTCCACTGCGTGCGATGTCATTCGACGATCTCCATCTCCATTTTCTCCTACGTATTTGTTCAGTGATCGGCTCTTGTTTGGTTTGCTCCCAGGCAGAGTTTCTCCTTGCTAATTCTTTCTGGCTGGCCATTTGACATTCAGTATAAAGTCACCCAGCGAAGGTGGCATAGCTGTTGATAAAAGTCATTAACTAGTTGGAAATTTTTTTCGTGACAAACAGTGCAAGTTTCTAACCCGTACAGAAAAACTGCCCGAGTGACTGACTTCACCTTTGTATTGAACAGAATTCGAATCTTGTTCTTTGTGCTCGCTGAGTGCAGGTTAATAAAGGGGTATCTTGCCTTTCTGATTCTGACTGGCTTTGACATCTTCATCTTTTTCGGCTGCCTGTGGTTGAAACCTTTGTTAAATCTCTCCCGCTGATGAAGACTGGTGCTGGTGGTTGTGGCTGTTGATGGTGTTTGGTTATTTTTATCACCTCCTTTTTCTCTATATTCACTTTCAGTCCTGTCTTCGCTGCTCGCATCTTCAGCCAGTTGGTTGTTTTTCGCCTGCTTTCTCTGAATTCTAACCTATTAACCTATGGGTCAATAGGCTGGTCTCGTAACCTGAAAGTCTTAAGTTCGCGTCTCCTGTTGGGGTCGTGGGCGCACACTGATGAAAGGTCCCAAGCTAGGAAGCAATAACGGTTCAGTGCTCCTGGATTTTTAATAATTCTTTAACTGATTCAGTTCATAACAAAGTCAAAATTGAAATTATTTGAAACCCAAAATCTGAATAAATGAGATTACAGAATGTGTATGAAACCAAATATAAAATGCCACTAGCAACATACTTTTCATAACTGACAATATCATCTTACTCTTTCAAAACTTTCACCAAGAAATATATTTTGCCAACATAATGTGCCTGCCTCATTTGTATTTACGTGCGTCAATGCAACGACTGAGAATTGAATGGAAGTCATATTTCCATTAGTAAACAAAAAGAACATGGATGCTGTCTGATAAATTCCTATCTAAGTTTATGTGAAAAGTACCTTAATATAAAAATGGAGAAGGACACTTTAAATGTAAATAAAGAAGGAACAAAGGTAGTTGAAAGAGTTAACGCATAACATGATATGAAGCAAAAAAGCCTCAATAACTCGTTGGTAACATCCATCTTACTACAGCATAGGATAAAGCAGATTCGAATCTCCGAGGGCGCATCAGTCAACTCATCATTCGAGGTTGCAGATGCGATTTGTTGATGAGTACGAAACATGAGGAAGATTTAAGTTCAAAGATTCTTTCTGATTTCAAAGCCAGGATGAGTAAGGGAACCAAGACAATAGTATGTTACTCTGAAATTGGTGCAGCAATCCACAGCACAAGGAACAAGATGACAAGGTTAAATTTTAAGCTCTGAGGGAGTGCGATGCATCAATCACTTGATGAAGTCTGTTTTTACGTATAAAGTACATATGTTTGTGTGAAAATAATGAAGAATAGGCATGAAATCGCTACAGAGGATACCTTTCTTTCCTGCCTGACAAAAATACTACCCAGTTTTGCACTGAAGTGCCAATAGAGTAATTAAACCACATTATATACATGTATTCATCTAAGTCTTCTAATCCTAACCCTAATGCGAAACTATCTCTAAGCTGGCTCTAATCTAACTTGAACCAACCCTAATATATTCTTTATTAGGTTGACCTAACACTCTAACTTGTCCTTAGCCTAAACCTTAACTTAATCTTTCCTCCAAATGTAACCTCAAACTTACCAGATATCCGGTTTAATGTCATAACATTTCATTAAGCATATTTTATCTCATAATTCAAGTGTTATTTACCTAGTTCCAGTAACCTACACACTGAGTGTTCCAGTATCATTGGTACAGTCATATTCCTTCAGTAATTAGAGTTCAATTTGGCCAGCAACATGCTAATTTTCAACACTACTAATGATCTACAGCATACTTTCACCAGCGCCTCTCTTCCCTAAATACTAAAGACCAGATAGATGGTCAGAAAGGATAAATAACATTGGATTCTTACAGGCATCGAACCATCTAAGAAGCGACTCCCTGACAAATATTCACAAAGAAATGGGGATGGATTGGACATGCACTGAGTTCCATCACGTGCCAGATTCTCGAGCGGGATAGGAATGAGAAACGAAGAGTTGGACGTCACTTCGAGCATGATATGGAGGTGGTTATATGAGGAGGAAATGAAAGCTCATTGGCAGTCATGGATCCATTCATGAAAAACTTCAGAAAATAAGGTGAAATGAAGAGGTGCTACTGAATCCCAATGTACCACTTAATACTCAAAGGATGAATAATGATATTAATTGGGCGATATGATAAAGAGAAAAAAAAGAGTTAAAATAACAGGGTTCTTTCTTTTGATAAGCATAAATCTAAACTATGAAAAGATTTAAGATTTGTTGGAGGATTTCATCATCAGCTGACAGATGTTTTCCTAGTTTGGGACTCTTCACCAGAACGCACCAACCGGGGTTCGAGAGAAACAGCTGTCCAGTACACCCTGCAGGTTTTCCAATGGTTCTTTAACTGATGTCAGCTCATGAAGAAATCCTCCAATCATTCAAACAAGCAAAATCTTTAAAAAAAACCAAAAATTTACAAAATTTAAGATTTGTTTTATTAAATTTAATCATATTTCTAGTTTTCTCTCTTTACTATTTTTATAGCACAGGTGCAAGAGGTGCACTTTCTGCAGAATACTTTTTACGTTCAAATTATGCTGTGGTATATTTTTATCGTAAAGGCTCTTTATTACCATTTATGCATCGTTTCAATCGAAAGCGCCATCATCATCATCCAGAGCAAAGAGAACGACAACAAGAACAACAAAAAGAACAAGAACCACCATATGACTGGATCGATCCGCATGATTTTGAAGTATTTCATTGGTTTACAGTAAATACACAAGAGAATAAATTACAAGTTACAGAGAATGCCTCGAAATTTCTTCTTCCTATATTCAATGAATACAATGTGTACAGTGAGTTGTAGTTATTTCCCGATGCTTTTGTGTTCCGAGTGGAACAAAGGGTTTCAGGCTTTGAATTGGTGGTGGTGGTGTTTTTACGGGTTACCAGCCTCAAGTCTGACCTTCCTTGTATTCCAAGCCTACTGTGAGCTAGGAAATAGGTTAGGTTTAGGTGTACGCAGGCCGAGAATGGAAGCCTGACCTCCTGCTTGATTGGTGGGTGTTCATCCGCCGACACATTATGCGTAATAATCTCATGTTTGATGAAATTATATCAGGCAGAAAGATTTTTCTAACTTGCGTACTTTAGAACAGAGTCTTTTGGCAACATTTAAATCAATATCTTCAGTGTTAGTTCAGAATTTCGTTGAATGCTTTGATGTATGTGTGTGGAATAGTTTCACTTCAGAGCGGAAGGATTCATTACTAACTACAGCTAGTCCACATCATTTGTAAAAAGTCTTTTATGGAGAACCAAATAGTTGAAATATAAACCTGCTATCTTTACAACTATAAGCAGTGGCTCTTGATCTCTCTTTCTATCTGTCTATCTGGTGATCCACCATTTCAGTTAAGAGATGAGCTTTTTAACCGACTTTTGGTCCCATTTTCGAGGATGACATTGATTTTTGTTTGACTGTGAAGCTTCTGATTGCTTGAATAAAGCGCACATTAACTAGACTTGAGGTAAATATACTGTTGTCGAATGATAATGACTTACAAGGATCTTATCACTAGTGAAATTTTTCAATAAGTACAATCACCTACCACTATCCACGTGAAGGAAGTCATTTCTTTCAATTATTTAGTTAGGTAGCATCGTTTCAACTACAAGCGGGTATGATTGAGGATATCAAATCCATGATCGGAAAGGTAAGATAAACACTCAGTAATAATCGGAAATCAGTGTGGGAATCTAAAGAATGAACCATAAGGAACAAAGATTCGGATTTTCAGCACCAATGTCGTGTCAGTGAGTACTTCTGTATGCCTCAGAGATGTGGTGCGCACGTCATGCAAAGCATTTTGAACAGACTACTAGAGACTTCGATCAAGCTGCTGCCTTTTTTGTGATTGAATACTAGTCAGTAACTAGTGTAATGTGTCTAGTCCTATCTACGGTGCAGACTGAATTCTATCAGTCAAAATTGCAATGTGGCCATCATGCTAGGAGGCTCGCCATCACGGTGCACTGTGAATTGTTGGTATTAGATGGTTAGAGGCAATAGGCAGGAAGCCTTGGACCCGAAGATAGGACTAGACACATTACACTAGTTACTGACTAGTGTCCAACCAAAAATATCCAATACATTCCTACAGGAGGTTAATCACGAAGCTGAATAGCTCAGTGGTAATGTCTCTGACTGCAGCACTCACTGGGTGACGCGGGTTTGAATCTCAGAGGAGTGGGACATGAGTTCCTTGGAGGTTGCAGATACGTCTCGCTGATGAGCGCCAACTAGCATGAAACCTAGATGCAAGGCTTCCTACCGATTGCCTCCAACCATCTAATGCCAACAGTTGCCTTTCGCCGAAAACAACAAGCAACAAGGGGATTGGGAAGGCAAGGCCCCAACAAATATGTCGGAGAAAATGGAGATGAATTGGACATGCGATGAGTAGACTGTTTAGTGACATTACGATCTAGGTCCTCGGGTGGAATTCGTACGAAAAATTATGATTTGGTTGTCCGAGGTTGATATGGTGGAGATGGTGTGAGGAAGAGATTAAAGCTTTTAGACAATCCTGTAGAGAATTTGGATGAAATTCAGATGTATTCGTGAAGTCCTAAGTAGCACTTGGAACCCAGGGGAATAGTAATAAAATCAATAAACCGCCTATCACATCAGAATACCAGTTGGTAAGTCTCACTCACTCATTAGCAATTGAAACTAGAGATAGCTACATTTTTTCATTATACATATTTGTATTGTTATTAATATACTCATACATTTCTACTTTCTCTTCTTCTTTCTATTCTCGTTTGCATCGCCATACTTGCTTCTGATGCACACACACCCACACACAGGTCAATATCTATTCCTACTAGAATTTGAAACTGTTGAAGACTATTTAATTGAACTACGCTATCTGGCTAAAGAGTTGAACAAGCTAGCAGAAAATTTTTACCATAAAAGAAAATTTTATTTATGCTTTTATTTATCTGCTGCTGTCTCTGATTATTATCTTTCAAATAATGAACGTCCAGAGCATAAAATACAAACAAAATCAAAAAGTATTCATCAAAATAATGATGGTGATGATGACAAATCAATACAAGCAGTAGAAAATTTGAATTTAACGCTAAAACCAGTACCAAAACTTATGAAGCTAATCAATACATTATGGGCACCTAATTCTTATGTGATAAGTTTTAAAGTAAGTACAGTAATAATAATAACACTTTTGATTTTTCCCTTATTTATTAATCGATTTTTACACTCGTTGAGCTCCGAGTAGTACATAGGGATTCAAACCCGACGGCTTGAAATTTCGTTAGCTGTTGTGTTGTTATTACACGATTAGGGTGCTAGCCTCACGTCCAACCTTCCCTCTTTTCTGGACTTTGCTGTCGGCTTGTAAACAAGATGTGGTTTAGGAGTAGGTTGGCCGGGAATCGAACCCTTTGAGTATTCTACCACCACTGGACTAAATCATTCGATTTGTGTTGACATATATCTCTTACAGGATTGATCACGAGTTGACATCCCTTAGAGACCCACTGAAAACCTAAGGTAAGTATTGGACAGCTGTTTCGTCCTGGTTTGAAACTCTTCATCGGTACATATCCATCTGGGTTAGAACCCATGACATTCCGGTTACGAGGCGAGGTCGTAGACCATTCAACCAGTGGGACCCGATCCAATGGCCTATGAATTCTAAATTCTGCCAGTTCGCTGTTCGAACCCCCAAGGGTGTGTACTTCTGAAGAGTCGCAAGCCAGAACGAAACAAACGTCTAGTACTCCTGGACTCTCCAATGGTTCTCTAACTGATGTCAATGCGTGATTAAACCTGTAACCAATCAAATCCTTGCACACCAATACTTGGTAGTATATCCCTTACGTTGGATAACACAGTATTACCATTATTATTATTATTATTATTATTATTATTATTACTAGTAGTAGTAGTAGTAGTAGTAGTAGTAGTAGTAGTTTCGTTCTGACGCTATTCCAAGGTGAACTTCGTTATGGACTGATATCTGTTACAGTATAACTGGGAAACAGAAAGCACTGAAACAGCCGATTCGACCTAGCTCATGAGTTTCCAGTAGTGTATACACCCACGAACTCATCTTAGGGAATGATCCCAGGACTTTCTGGTTACAGGGTTAGGGAGAATAGTGCTATTCAACCACTGGGTCGTAAGTCAGTATAACCATTATTCCCTTAGGTTCCCAACGAAACATGAAGCTTCATCGTCGCCTAGTTCACTAACCAATCCTAAGCCGGGAAAATGAGGGAAGACTGCGCGTGGAGCTAGTGACCATACCCTCGGAAAATCAATCCGATGGCTACAGAAAATTCAACGCACAGAAAACATATAAAAAAGTAAACATATTCTTCGCTGTAATTGGAGAGACTGAATGACATGGGCTGAGTGAAAGCCTTCCGGAAGCAGATGTGGCTTCTTTCAACGAAAACAAATATCAGCTTGGGTATGTGGAATGTCCGCACAGTTTTCAAGGCTGGGCTGTGAATCAATAATGCATGAGTACTGACTAATTACGTTGGTTTGAGATATAATGTCAGTGCTATCCAGTTCCATCCGCCACCCACTGATCAGCTTTCTAGACCAGGACTATCGTAGATTTGTGACGGCACCATATGGCGAAGTGATCAAAACTTAGAAGAAATGTAAAACCGAATATATTTGCAGGATAAAAGAAATTTCTTTTTTACTTCACAACTTTCTTCAACTGCTGACAGCCTATAAGTGGCATAAGTTATTATAAATGTTTTCTTAAAATTTCAACCCAGAAGTATGAATACATACTTCAGTTTGACAATAGGTAGTAATCGATATCATGAGTGTAGTCGTTTGGTGGTGGTATAGACTGAATCCTATTAGTCATGTGTGCAATCTGGCCACCATGCCCACTAGGTGGCTCGCCATCATAATGCACTCTGAACTACTGTTGGTTTTTGGGAGGCGATTGGCCATAAGCCATAGACTTAGGTTTCGTGTTTATTGGTACTCAGCAAGGTGTATCTGCAATGTTGAACGAACTAGTGTCCCTTCGAAGATTCGAAACCGGTTCACCCAGTACTGCAGTAAGAGCCATTACCACTGAGCTATTTGGGCTTGCTGACTGACTTTTTGTAGTGCTGTATTAATACAAGGTAGTCAATAGCCTTATGTTTGTTTGTAAGATGATGAAAAGCTGGACAGTTAAGAGAAGTAGAGGAAGTAGTGACGAAATATGGTAAGTTAAGGTAAAACTAATATGACGTATTTAGAAAAAACAACAGATTGAGCAGCGAAGAAATATGCATTCCTTTTCAATTAGTTCCTCATCATCGGCTGGCTAGCTCTACACTAATATATCGTTTTTTACATCAAAATTTTTTCAACACTGTTTGCTCGTTAACCCAGTCAAAAGTAGATGAGTACCCTACTCACGTCAACTCCAACTGCATTTACCAATTCACTTGCACTTGCGGAAGCAAGTACATAGGAAGGACTGAGAGGAGAGCATCTACTAGATTTTCTGAGCACACTCCTAAGAGTCTCTGTACAAAAGAAACAAAGGTGTTATCGAGTGCAATCGCCAGACACTTAATTGACACAGGACACAGTCGAAATTAGCCAAGCCTTCAAAATAATAAATACGCAAAGAAACCCATGGCTACTTCGTTTCGCAGAAGCCATTGCTATCAAGAGACTTCGACCAGACCTCTGTATACAAAAAGATAGTGTGACTAATCTTTCACTACCCTGGTAACCCTAATTCTATTTTATTTTATTTTTGTTTGCCTTTTTGTCAGTATGTCTGTGTGTTTGTCTTCAATTTTGACTTTCAAGTTTACAAATCTACTTAATTGTTTGTTTAAGTTAAAAAATGTTACTTCACTATTCACCCCACCCTCTTAAACTCTCCACCACAAGATGTGTAAATTCACTCTGTTCTCTGACCCTGACCTTGTAATATGCCTCTAACCAATCTGTGTTTTCCAATAGAAATCTGAACTCTAACCCCTCTTATCTAATTCCACTATATATAGTTAGTTGTTTTTTGACACTGAATAATCTGTCTACCTACATCAAATTCTGGAATTATGTTCCTTATACCTTCTATCTATAACTCCAAGTAATTATGAAAAAGTATGTTCCAAAACTTTTTTGAAACTTATAATTTGATTTCGTTTAGGATGTATGCAGTTGATGAGTATCCACGAAATAAAACGAGCTCGTATTATCCTGAAAGCATGTTCGTTCTTTCTCTCTTCAAACTAATAAAGGGAACCGCTTGCATGAAATTTTTTCAATATATTAAATATTCCCATAGTAAAATTTAGAACAACACATTAAATAGCGAAACGTCAGTAAAAACAACCTCGTTTTATTTTTCATTCATTGGGAAATACAAGAAAACCCTTATTATAATGTATATTAGAGTTAAGTCTGATGAGATCTAATTGAAAACAATTGTTGTTCGTTTAAATGTGTTGTACACAATTTTTTACCAATCAAGTGGTTATTTTAGCTAATCAGTTTTAGGTATAGATGGGGATGAAATTAAGAGGTTAAAAGTCATCAAAACAATTCACTAACAGATGTTAGTAACAAGATATCCAAGTCTTAAAGGAGGGGTGAAAATTAGTTACCGAATTCAAGATAGGTTGACTCTTAGGCATTAGCAACAAGTCATGACATAATCAAGAAATTTGTGAAATAGCAATGATGACTAAAAAGAATAGGATGACTCAGAAGAGTTACGTGAAATACAAGCAAGTTAATAGAATTAGTTAGAATTGTAACAATTAACAAAGTTAAAAGATAGTTGCAAGATAGTAAAAGCTTTTAAAGTTATTTATCGTATTTCAAGCAACCTCTCGTATGGTCTACGAGTACGACTTTACATAGGGCAGAGGCAATCAGAATCCATCTGAACAAGCCAAATCTCTGAGCGTTCAAAAGAAATTCGCCCAGCCCCTTTCTTTGCCATGGACAACTGCATAATATGTATTAAGTTTTTTTAAACAATTTCCCCTCCCCTTGTAACTATCTTTTGACTTTGTTAATTTTTACAATTCTAACTAATTCTATTAACTTGCTTGTATTTTACGTAACTCTTCTGAGTCATCCTACTCTTCTTAGTCATCATTGCTATTTCACAAATTTCTTGATTATGTCATGACTTGTTGCTAATGCCTAAGAGTCAACCTATCTTGAATTCGGTAACTAATTTTCACCCCTCCTTTAAGACTTGGATATCTTGTTACTAACATCTGTTAGTGAATTGTTTTGATGACTTTTAACCTCTTAATTTCATCCCCATCTATACCTAAAACTGATTAGCTAAAATAACCACTTGATTGGTAAAACCTTTTGATGTAAAAAGACAACTATATATTAGTGTAGAGCCGATGATGAGGAACTAATTGAAAATGAGTGCATATTTCTTCGCTGCTCAATCTGTTTTTATTTCTAATATGACGTAAACGAACAATTTAGTAAACTAACAGCTTGATGATAATTCTACCTCAATGAGTGAAATTAACAACTATGCAAAGATTGTTACCCAAGAGAAAAACAAACCGTCGAGTTTCCCAGGATAGTGTAAGGTTAATCATGCTCTCAGTTGATAGTAATGATCTCTTCAAAAGGAAGTGACCAAAGCTTCTCTCCGTAATATTCATCGTTTTGAAGAGTTGATTGATTACAACTGTATGTCCTCTATCAGTTAGGTGTCTAGCTATTGTACTTTCAAATACCCTGCTACGTTTTATACCAACAGTGTGCTCAAAAAAATCTCATAGATACTCTCTTCTTAGTCCTTCCTACGCACTTGTTAGCCTCAAGTGCATGTGAATTGGAGTTAACATAACTAGGATACTTATCGCATTTAAACTGAATTAATGGGCATTCCTTATTTTGAAATAGATTCAATTCTTATCCATAATTCTTTCTTTTTGTATGCACAGTAGATGTAAACTGGTCGCTAATCAACTATTATGCGCTTAAATATGAATGTTCATTCTTTTACATTCTTTCATTCATTCTTTCTTCATATAAGATTCTTTTCAATAATCATGAACTGATCATCACTCTTTCTTTTCTGAGCATGACGATGTCATCATCGTACCGAAAAGCAATTAGGCGAATACTTTGATAATATTCAAGTATTGGTTTTATAGGGATTTTCTTTGATTGGTTGAAGGGTTTCATCATGAGCTGACATCAGTTAGAGAACCATTGGTAAACCACCTTGGAGTACTGGACAGCTGTTTTCTCCATCCTAGTTTGGGACTCTTCGTCAGTACGCACCATCGGGGTTCGAACCCAGGACCTTCTGGTTACAACGCTAGCAAGCTTGTAGACCATTAAGCCCCTCACTGGGACTCGATCCAATGGTGAGTCCCTGAATTCCACCCTCTGCCAATTCACAACATAGCGCGACTACTAAACAGTGTCACCTATGGCGAGTATTTGTCCTCACACCTGACCTGCTGCATCCTACTGGTCACAACTTCCCACTAGAACCCCAGGTAACTACCTACCTGAATAGGGCCATAATAATTTAAGTAATGACCTATCTTGTATGCCTACTTATTATTATTAAATAACCATTGAGTTATACATCTACATTTATAACAAGCTGTCAAATAAAAGTAGCTCTCTGTATTCTATAAATATATTCATTCTGTTGGTGGTCGTGGCTGTCATGGCCCCCCAGGTGGTCCAGTGGATAACACTTTGCCTTTTGCAACTATGGGCACCACTGGGTTCGAGACTCAGTGGGAATAGTATCACTCATTGGGAAATGCAGGTACATCCAGGTGACGAGTCCCAAACAGGACGAAGTGCGCATCCCCGTGGATTCCACTGCTAGTCACTATCCACCAGCTCAATTCAGGTTGAAGCCCAAGACATTGTCGAAGCATCTGCACAAGGAACCGACTTGTCAACAGAGCCCAAGCACTGGGTTTATTCAAACCAGTCACAGGAACTGGGTATATGACAAAATGCAGACCAAATCCATTAGCCAATGAATTATAAGTTATTGAGCAACAGTGTCCCTTCACCTTCTAACTTGAAGCTTATGGAATCAGTCTCTGATGTCGTCATGTAGATACAGTGTGCTAATTAGCGTTGAACCAAGACGAGACATCTCTGTTCACTGATCTGATATCGGTCTGTGAGAAGATCCACACACTGAAATTAAATCAAGCATCTAGTATTATACGTTGTCAATGCAATCTTGACCACTCGTTTCATTCCACTTAAGACTTGTCAACTTTCATTGTTTTTATCCATTTGTGTTCCGATTGGAACATACAGTTTCAAACTTGAACTTTAAAGCTCCAGTCGCAGTGAGGTTTATATACTACGGGATGCAGTTGCTATTCCCACAACCAAAATCCCTTCTTCACTGGCCTTTTTACCGACTATGTGAGGTTTTAAGAGTATGTCGACCAGGGAATCGAACCCCAGACCACATGGGTCGTAGTTGGTGAGCGTTCTACCCCTACACCACCGAGGCATTGTCAACTGCTTGTATATTATTGTATTTCCATCATATCAAACGTCTGATTCTAAAGGAAATCAAGGTGGGAGAGTGTCTATGATTCCACGGATAACTACCACTGAATGCGTAACATTAAAAACAGCATATTTTCTCATACTTTCGTAGGACATTAATAATAATAGCATATATTAATATATTCCGCATTACTTTTCACTTCAGCTGGAAACAGATAACGAACAATTATTGATAAAAGCCAAGAAGTCATTACAAGTGAATCATTCCAATATTGTTGTTGCCAATCTTCTGCATACACGAACAAAAGAAGTCTGGTTAGTGCATAAACAGAATGATGAGCAAAGTATAGCTATTGATCATATAAACACGCAACAGCTGCTTGATAAACAACCCAGACATTCAACATCCTTCTCCTCCTCATCATCATCAGGAGATATTGAGTCTGTTTTTATTCCTCGTCTCATAGAACTACACGAACAGTATATACTTCAAAGACAATAATTTGAATCGACATTTTTTGTCTAGTATTTTTTTTAGTACTTTTTATTATGAGAACTTCGTTAAGCCTAGTGCTTCTCTCGATCCGCTTGTTAAATTTTAAACTTTGTATAAAAAAGAAGTTTGTTTCAGTTACTGAACTTACAAGGAACCTGATGTGTCTCAATATTCTGATGCATGATTTCCCTTTCCATTTCTCCTTTCCCCCTATTTTACACTTTTATTCCTTCGGATGACATTGACCTTGAGTTGACCTGCTTTAGTTGAACTCTACTCAGTCATATCAATTGTGTGATATTGCTCAATTTACTTAATAATAATAATTTGCTTTATTTCAAATCAATACGTACGACAGAGAGTGGAATTCTCAGTATTTGTCACATTATTACACCTAATTTACTCGACAACAACAATAATAACAATAACAAAACGAAAAATTTATATTACAGGGTATAGATAACCAGCTGTGTCGGTAGCTTAGCGTTAGAATGTTCGCCAACCACGCCTCATGTGGTCGGGAGTTCGATCCCCGGCCACCGACGCACTCCTTTACCTCGCTAAACCAGTAATCAGACCGGTAAAGAGGAAAGGTTGGGCATAAGGATGACAACCTCAACACCATAAAAAATAAACACCACTGCTACCGAAACTTCAAAGCTGAGAGCTTGAAGCCCTATATCCCACTGGGAACGTAAAGGAATAAAATAATAAGAATAGCATCTTTTTGGTATTAGCACTGACCATACTGTTAAAAATGTACAAAAAAAAGTAAAATGATCATAATAATATTATTACCAAGTATTGGTTTTGTAGGGATTTTTGTTTTTTCATTGCATGGAGGATCTCATCATAAGCTGACATCAGTTAGAGAACCGCTGGAAAACCTGGGAGTACTGGACAGCTGTTTCGTCGTAGCTCATGGTGAAATCCTCCATGCAATCAAAAATAAAATAATTAACTAAAATTATGAAGTAATTGAAATAGCATCACCATAGATTACAAATAGGAGAATATTAAAGAGCCGTCTATTTTGTTAATTACATGAAAAGTTATACGTTTCACACCTAAGATCATTAGGCTAGTGATTGTGTCATCAAGTGTACTCTCAAATAAATAGATCCCAGCTAGTGTCCTTCAACATGTATCTAAGATTATATATGTTATAATCTGTGAGTAACATCTGTGTTGCATTTTCTTGGGAAAGGCGTATGACTTGCCATTTGTGTTTTAGCTAACACTTCTATAATGCAATGATCAGAGTTCAGTATTTGAGCACGTTTGCTTGCTTTATATACTTCAACATTATTAGTGAACACTAAATCAAGTGTTTTGTCAAGGTGAGTAGCGAAGTTGACAGTGTTCATATGGCCTAGTGAGTTGAGGAAACAACAATCACAGGAATTGAAGTCTGCGGTGACTATTGATAGAGCAGCAATGACAGCAAAAACTGTTAATTCGTGTGCAAAATTAGTTAGATCTGAGGGGGAACAGCCATGGATAAACAAAAATGTGTTTCTGTTCATGAAAAATCCCCCCATTCGAACATTAATAGAGAGAAAACCAGTAGTTCAGCGAAGAGTCACTTTTCGGCGGCGAATTCATTCTCACAGCTGTACAATCACATATATATATATATATATGAGTTATTTTGTATATATGTGTACACTAAGTTTATCAAACAAAAATCCAATTGGTCATGGTTATTTTAACTAAACAGGTGAGAATTAGTAAGTTTTGGGTGGAGCTACGTAATACAAAAAGTATTCAGAGGAATTGAATGTTGAAATAAAACTTAAAACTCTTGAGTAATTCCGTATCTAATTTTGTTTCCATTTTCACCCTGAGCACAACTCTCTCATCAAACTATTCATGCTATTACATAACTCTTCTTTAACAATCGTTTGTGACAACTCATCACTTTTGTTACTACCCTCTTATATCAATATCCAATTCCTCCGAACGCCTTTTGTATTACGTATCTCCATCCAAAACTTACTAATTCCCACCTGTTTAGTTAAAATAGCCATAACCAATTGTATTTTTTGTCTGACAAACTTAATGTACACATACATACAAAATAACTGAAATATATTTGCGATCGTACAGCTGTGAAAATGAATTCGCCGCCGAAAAGAGACTCTTCGCTGAACTACTGGTCTTCTCTCTAAAAATGCGTTTATTCGTTGATAAGTGTTTGAGACGACATTTGACAGTAATACAATCAATAAAGTCACTCGAGATTTTGAATCATACATGCAGGGAATGAATACAAGTTACAACCCTACCACCACATTTCTTTTTGGTATAAAATCGATCTTGTCGGAATAGTGTGAAACCACTTAGTGAGACAAGACTGTCACCATAAAGCTCGTGAAGCTAAGTTTCTTGTTGAGTGATTATAGCCAGATTGTGATAATTATCAGAGGATAGGAGATATTGCAGATATCTAATGTCGTGGGGAAGAGAATGGCAGTTGGCAACAATGATACCAGGAGCGGTAATACGATGGATAGGTGTGTGTTTTAGTGCACATTGCCAACCACCTTGGATTCTTTTTCTAAGCTTTATTAGAAACTTGGAAGACACTTGGTGTTCTTAAACATTTTAAAACTTCGTGACGGTAAATAATACGATTTGACGTTATACTTTAATACATAAATTTGGATTGTGTCATTAGAAGACAGAGATTATCTGAAAAATGTGATGTATTTGCGCTATACATTTCGAACAATCTGTTCCCTCACACATTTACTTGTCAAGTCGATATACGTGAAAAAATTAAGGGCAATTAAATTAAACAAAGTGACAAAAAAGGATTTAAGAATGATTAACATAACGTTTGGTAATCCAATCAAATCAAGATTACCAATGTAGGTTAAGTGTAATAATAAACTGTTTTTGAGTACACAGGGGGAGGCTTAAGTTTATGAATAGCTTCAGCCTTAGCGTATTTCAGTAAGCGCCCTTGACTATTTTTATAGACGATCTTAAAGGTTGAGTTAATATCAGTTTTATGGTTCATCTCGATTAGGTGTTTAGACATAGACGAAGTTGGTAGTCTGACACCTGCGTCTATTGGTTTTCCACAATTCATTTGTTTTTCTAGCCATTTTGGGATTACCAAACTTGTGTTAATCATTCTTAAATCCTTTTCTTTTGTCACTTTGTTTAATTTAATTGCCCTTAATTTTTTCACGTATATCGACTTGACAAGTAAATGTGAAAGGGATCAGATTGTTCGAAATGTATAGCGCAAATACATCACACATTTTTCAGATAATCTCCGTCTTCTAATAACACTATCCAAATTTATAAAAAGGGACTAATTGTTTTAATACATAAAGACAAATAAAACGAGATAGATTAGATGCGATATATGTAGATGGAAGTGTTTAAGTAGCCCAACATTCGAACAGGCTTTAATTTCTAGCTAAATAATGTTTCTCCACGAAAACAAATTCCCATGTGATCTAGTTAAGATCACAAAGTGATATACAGTTATTTGGGAAGAGCGAGTTGTATATACATTGTTTATTGATAACAAAGGTTAGATGTCATTGTGAGCTAACAGTAAAACAGATCAAAGTGTGTGAGAAACTATAATCAAGTATTGGTTTGTAGGGATTTTGTTTGACTGTTTGAAGGATTTCATCATGAGCTGACATCAGTTAGAGAACCATGGAGAAACCTGCAGAGAGTACTGGACAGGTGTTTCGTCAGCCTAGTTTGGGACTCTTTACAGTATGCACCCACAGTCAGGGTTCGAACCCAGGACCTTGTGGTTACAAGGCGAGCTCGGTGGGTGCGTGCTGAGGAAGAGCACCGAACTAGGACGAAAGAGCTGTCTAGTACTTCCAGGTTTTCCAATGGTTTTCTAACTGATGTCAGCTCATGATGAAATCCTCCAACCAAAGAAATAATAATAATGTGTGAAAAACACTTGATAATATTACGCAATCGAGACAGTTGACAACTAATCAGTTAAGCGATGAATAGTTATTTGGAAATAATTGGTGGGGAATAAGAGAATAAAGAACTGAAAATAAGTTACAAAAATAAAAAGATTACACAGAGTTCGTCATGCAACATATCAGGAAAATAAATTTGATACTAAGGCTTTAATAGTAACAGGGCCTGGTAAAAATATGTGTAATTAAATTTCAATGGTTTACACACAATGGGAAATTTTTGGTAATATTTCGAGCAAAATTACTGCCAATGATCACACGAACTTTTGGAATTATTTTATTTTTACTTCACACATGATTTCTACTCATATATATATATATATATATATATATATATATATATATATAGTTCTTCTTTTTGTTCATTCATTTTTGAGCATTCAGAATTATATTCCAGATTGTTGACAGTTGTGCTGAGTCACCCTTGTTACATGTATCCGGTGTGACCTTAATGAATATAGATTCTGTGATAAGCCTCTCTTCCCACTTGTTCATATTAGTTTTCAGGATACAAACATTGGTCCAATCAATAATGTGATTTTTGTCCCATGTATGTGCAGCTAGAGACGAATTTTTTTCTAAATTGCTGTAAGCTTGTGTTCCTGCTGGTTGACCTTTAGTTAGGTATTTATGTTCATTCACTCTTATTTTGATTGATCTGGAAGTTTGACCCACATATTTGGTCGGATATTTTGAGGATCTTTCGGCTGATTTATCTTATGTTTAATTAGATTCGTCGGTTTAAATGTTGTGAGAATCCCCATAATTTTGAGGTTTCCTCGAATTGCCTCTGATGTACCATTTTTGTATGGTATTGTGACTGTTTTTTTTTGACTTCCTCCTTCTCTAGTTTTACACTCTTTTTTTCTTTTTATATTTTCTCTGATAAATTCTTTTGGGTAGTTGTTGTCGAGTAGCATTTTGAATAGGACGTTTATTTCTTTTCGCTGGTCTTCTGGTGTTGTTGTAAGTCTACGTATTCTATCTGCAAGACCTTGTATTAATCCTCGTTTTACCGTGAGTGAATGAGCTGAG